AGACTACTAATGCACAGTATTGATATTGGATCTTTTGCAAAAAAAAAAACGTAGAGAGAAACGATTGTTAGTCGGTAACTGTCGAGAAAACTTTGTTGGATTCTTCTTACCACTACTTGGTTTCTTCGTCCAGGTATGCATAAAGCATTTCCCAAAACTAACGATTTTTGAAAAAGAGCATTTTTGAGCAACTATATTTGGCGTTCCTCATGGAACATTGCCAGCGATGACGATTCCACGATTTGCGAATCCAATCGTCACAATGGTACACGATTACAAACAATTAGTGTTCTTTGCCAAGACAAGAGCACAGCTTTATGGCTAGACTGTGCATGTTGATATTATTACTATTTGTGTATTGTATCATTATTATTCAATGTGTTACTGCTTTCTTATTAAAATACATATGCTATTTGTTTTACTCTATTTGCAGCATTTAAAAAAAACGTCAAAAAGAAATTTTGCTGTACACCTTTGATGGCTACAGCGGAATTTCAAATGCAATTATCCTTATCAATTATATAAACAATAAATAGCACATTCGTTAATCCAACTCAATTGCATAACGGGTTTCTTTTAATATATAGGGAAAGACAAAAGAAAAACCTCTTACCCAACAACGGTGAACATAACATGTAAACCCGACATGTTATAGCTACTGTAAAGTCTGAGCAAACAAATTTAAAAGTGTGTCAATATTTATATAATATGAGGCCCCAGTGGGTCTTACTGTAAGCATTCAGTAAGATTACTTACTGCCTACCAGTTTTTCCTAAGTGCGTTTTTCCCAGTATGTCTGCTGTCTTTTTGCTTTTAATTTGGGTTCCTTTACAACGTTTGCTGTATAGGTAGTTCTTTATTACAACTTTTCTCAGATACCATTGGCATTTCTTTTATTGAACCGGGAAATACAATGCAGATTTTTTCACTTTTGGCGTGCTCTGCCTCTAAAAATATCCATCGTAAACAACGCTGCTTAAATTTAGATGCATATGTGCCTTTACACTGGATTCGTTGAGGGCCTCCATCAAAAAATGGCTCACGTACTGGACATCGGGAGGGCGCAGTTTCACCTCCTGGGTCTTGGCGCAGTTGTGCCTTGCAGCTCTGAAACTGGGCTAAGCTTACTGATCCACGGCCAGGTTACCACGACGCGTTACCGTTTCAGCTTCAATAGTCATACCTTCGATCAAAATCCTCTCCACCCCTATGACTTGTACGTTCATATATCTAACGAGCGAGTTTGGTGAACGGGGCTTCAGTATCATCTGCAGTCTTTTTGCTTCTGTCATGTGAGAGCTCTTCTGCTTGCTTTGTAGGTAGGGCATCCGAGATGTACCAGTTTACGCGTATTCTAACTGCTAAAGTGGTCAACTTATATTATTGACAGAAAGAAGAAGCTATTAAATGAAGTCAGACTGAATGGAGCTTCTCAATACGCATGTAACTGCGAAATTTTGGATCACACAGCAGAAATACTGAATTATATGTGTATGTAATAATGCTGCGAAAACAGGAACGGAACCCTGAATTCAATTTGATTTAAAAGAATAAGTTCTGTGATGATTTCAATATACGAAATAGAGCCAACTACCGCGTCTGTAGTTAAAATACCTCAATTTCAATGGCTTTTTATGACATGGGAGGTTGCAAGGACTTGACATATAACTACTTACGAATGAGCAAGGAAAAATAGATGAGTAAAAAAACAAAAAGGTAATGCGAGAAATTAGTTCAATTAGGTAAACAGAGAGACAACGAACGACTATATAAATGAGAAAAAAGTAATCTATAGAGAGAAAGCTGAAATAGGGCTTCTATGCAATGCCAAGTTAAATCCGAACCATACGCAAGAAAATAAATATCTATTGGATGGAAGTTGGACGGAAAAGCATTCGATGTATTTTTTCAACAATTACCTAACATTATGTCACATCGTGAATCAAATGTAATGATAGTTAGGCTCGAGAATGGGACTTAAGCTGTTGTGCTTGATGAGCGTATACAATAATCCACTAGGCGAGCTAATATAGGGAGCTATAGAAGCATGTAGATACTAACGTACTAAAACGATGTATATACCAGTTACTTCCACGGAGCGCAAGAATTTGCTTTATCGTCGATTTTATTCGCAACAGGACGGAGCACCTATATCGCCAGTACCATATCATCACCGGATAGATTAATTAAACAAATCAGTCCCATAGGATACTCTTGCTGTTAACCAACCTGACGCCAATAGACTTTTTGTAACGATGCCCAAAAAGATAAAGTCGATGCCGAAAAGGAAGATTTGGAAGCTTGTTGAAGTTTGTTTGTCAATACTTTACTCTCGTTACTAAAACAGTACTAATCTACACTAGGAGAATAAACTATACGGTCTATAATTTAAATATTAACTATACATAAATAAAAGCTGAAATTATAATTATTGAAACTGTGTATAGAGGATGAAACGCTTTTGCCTGAGCAACTGAAAATTTTTGAACTCATCTAAGCATGTGATAGATGGCTAAAAAAAAAAATGTAAATCTCATTAATAATAATGCCGATTGAAAAGTAATTTAATACGTTACAGAAATAACCCAGGAACACGATTGCTCATCATGAGTAAACAATATGAATATGATAACAAACAAGGAAACCAATTGCGTGTACTCATCACATAATGTAATACGTTACGCAGCTTTATCCTTTCCGCACGAAAAGATGACGGAAAATGTCGGTCTTTCCTGAAGCGATTTCAGGCGCCTAGAGATAGTCTGCTAGAGCTTTGTTGGTAGCATTTTTTTTTATCAAGCATTTCCCAGCCAGGAGGCTTTAATCTGTTAGTTTAAACTGAAGTATACGTGCAGGCTACAGAACGAAAGCTAATCTTTACCGGCAAGTGAAATATGGCAATATGCTAGAGAATGAAATAAGGGTAGAGCCTAGTAGCTTCAGCAACCCAGCGTCCTAGTTGCAAGTAAGCTTAACAAGGGACCACAGAAACAATTGTTAATTTTGTTTTTGTTGAGATAGAGACTCATATATATTAACTTACAATACTGATTAGAGTCTGCACGTGTCGTTTAATATTATGTTGATAATCGCACAAGAAGAAAAAAGGAAAAAGTGTCTTTGTCGTGGTCGCTGAATATCAGGTTCAAAATTTGAAGGGTAGCTAGTATAAGGATAGCAAAAGGCAAAAAATGCCTTTTACCCAGTGTACGCACACCGCCCAAGTAATTAATAAACGCTTGTAAGAGGACGGCAATGCACATTATACTAGAAAAAGTCTAAGCTCAGGATAGGGTAAATCATGAAGATTATGGAGACTTAAGATGAATTATACACATCAATCTTAAATGCTGTAAAAACGACAAAAATAACGAGATAGCTATCAAAAAGGAGTTCGCCTGTATGGAAATGTAGGTCTACCTGCAGCACTTGATCGACAATACTTTATTGAACAGATGTTGACGGAGATACAAGTGTCATCTATGCTCACGCTGGCTCGTCGTGAAGAAGTGCCACGGGTAGAACAGAAAGTGAAGAAACCGTTTTTTACGGTGGGCGGCTAGAATATACTAAAAAAATCTAATACTAATATCTAAAATAAGAGTAGAAAGTATATACCTGTTCTGCAGGAGCATTTAAGCAATTTTTGCAGTTTCCGTTGTGACTAAGGCACTTCCGTATGATTATCGCTAAATAAATAAGGTTTCTATGACACACTAAGTTGAAGACTGCGTAATGGGCCGTTCAGTATAGGACCTTAATCACGGGCGTCGCATGAAAACTACTCGAAAGGAAAGTAAATCTGCCACCCGGGGCTTCTTGGCTTTTTGCGTATAACACATGCGCATTTATAATCACACACCACAATCGATTGATTTGTAGGGAAGTGCAGAGTGTGAGACCTCCCTGTACTATGATGATAAGACAAAGAACTTTTAATACTAATATACAAACATACGAAGCAAAACCAATAATGTCTTAAGGTCGCCGATAGCTTCATTTGTGTGTATCGAGTCTATAAAGCTTCAACTCATAACTAGATTGTTTTCTTTCTTCTTCTTTTGTGGAGAAGCAGGGCTGGATTTATATTTCAGGCGTTCGGAACGTTTAAATATTGAAACGAGTAGAATTATTAACATTTTGAGTTTGGTGTTCTGAGGAGGCATTCTTTAATTCGTTCTAGTGTGGACATATGTACATCCCTCAGGAAACAACTGAACCACAGGGACGCTCGTTTGTTGTGGCCCATAAATAGTATTCTGCTATTAAGTAAGAGAAGCCTTGAAGAAAGTCCACCATATGGACATTATGGGCATTATGCAAGCTGACTTTGCAGCAGGAATATGAAGATCCTAGATACTGTGAGCGTGGGTGACATAGCTGCCTCAGTTGCCCTGCCTTGTCAAGCGTGTCCATTAGCTTCGAGCTACGACTACATATGAAACCTTCCTCATCCGTTTCAGTTAGCTGTCAATTCAAACGAAATTTAAGCTATCTAGCTGAACTGTACCGCGCGACTTTCGCAGATAAATAATTGATTGGTTATCTTTGTTCTATTTCGGCAAGCATGGTTCAAAGGGCGATCTGAAGGGAGAATTTTCTGCAACATTTAACTCTTCCTTTTAACCCTTCCTTGAAGATGTCATTTTATATCGTAACGGTCTAGTTCGATACGTCACATCTACCGCATGGATTCGTCTGACTTTTCATCTGCGCCTATTCGCATCTATCGAATAAGGAATAGACAAGTGTTATTCACCAAATCTGTCATAATTTGCCTTGACGCTTAAACAGTTCTTAGATCGAGAATAGAGAAAGTACTGCCTTATCGTTAACTAGACCATGTCAATATGACTTGACACGTACGACGGACGGTGTGCACAGCAGCAGCAGCAGAGGAATAACTTTCCTATTTACAATCACGCGATTTGTTCATCTAAGGGATACGATGGGGATTTCATAAAAGATAAATACAATGTACATATAAATAAAACATGTACCTGGCTTTCCTGGATGTCTTCTTGTTTATCTAGAAAGCCCAAAAGCTGCCCTTCTAAAGTTTTCCCTGGATATTGGTAACGGCGAAACTGGTTTAAATTGTCACCGTAGTTCTTGCCTTTGCCGTGGCGCGTAATGTCGATGGTGTTGTTCTGTTCTGGTTCGTTTCGGCCGAATACTGTTGTTATTTTGCGATCACGTGACTCACACGTTTATTTCAATCTAGCATCACACATTTTTGCGAGCCAAACCACTGTGTCCAACAACGACAACTCTATGCTCCTTCTAGCGTGGACCTGTCATTGCGTCGCTGATTTGCTGCTAAGCCTATCTGTATAATTTGCTAATTAGGTAGTTTCGTCTTGGCCCTAGCGGGAGAACTGCTTCGATGAGTTTGTCGTCATTCATCCGTCCAACGGACTGAAGCGGTAAATGCCGTTGTCCCTCCTTTTTTACTTGGTTTTTACTCCTCAGCTCCAGTCGCTCCCTCCTCAGCTGGATAAAGAGTTAGCTTCTTCTTTATAAATGCACACGAAGAGAGTATGCTGAATCCCAAATAACCCTATTTGTCTACCGGTTACGCTTCTTAGAGATCGCTGTTGCGTCGAACTCGCGATTATTACAGCTCTGGATGTGTCGAACGCAACGTTTCGACAGTCGATCGGCGTCTTTGCACGTTATTCGTTTGTTTGTTTGTTTGTTTGTTTGTTTGTTTAACTAGTCGGTCCTCAACAATTGCCCCTGTCTACTTCTCTTGTTTCACAAACTGCTTACGTAGCCAGCGGGACAGGAAGAACAAGGTAATTGTGATAACAGGTGCGGCTTCTTGAATAGGAGTAGCAATTGTTGTTGCTTTAGCAATGCTAGTCGTCATGTGACAGTTGTCGTAAACGTAGCAGAACTTGAATTATACCAAAAGTTCCTTGACAGCAATGGCACACACAAAATGCAACAGCACACAAAACCAGAGGAATGATTAAATAGTATTTAAAGTCAGCAGAGAACGAATACGTATGCATGTGTATATATACGAAGATACATACTGTGTATATAGCGATATTTACGCCTATAAATAGCGCGCAATGCGTATACAATATCCTCACTGACACCAGCCACACACACAAACACATAGAAGCACAGAGAGAGCATACTTGATTAAAGATTACTGCGACGATTTGTTTGTTGTTGTCCAATTATCCATGTGATATAATCCACCGGCACGATTTTCATATCACACTGTTCCTTCCTGCAATACGGTGTAGCCAATCGAGATGAACTTAAGCGTTATGGTGCTAAGTTAAACTGAACTTGAGAGTTATTCACAGCTGCTGCTAAAAACCGTTCAATGCAATTGGATACAAGTGGGTTTCGGATCAACGTGATTAAACGAGATCTTCTAACAGCAATAAATAGTGGCGGGTAGTAGACAGAATATACAAGACACGAATCATCGTGCTGATAAAAGCGAAAGCGATAATACATATCTAAATAGATGAGTACACATATTGAAGATGTGAACGTATGACGGTCGTCAAATGGACAGATATCTACGTATGGATAGGTATATTATGAAGGTAATTACGCAGACTCGTACACGTAGCCAGTCGCGCGCAACCGGAGCTGTAGACACGGTATCATCGTCGGCTGCTGGCGTTAGAGGGCCCAATAGCAAAATTGAACAGTATGTCCTAAACTTATCTAATGGTCGATCAATCAGTAACATCGATTAACGACGGAGAAGACCAACTTGTCAGTTAGTGTCGAACTCACTACTAAGAGTATTGATAGCTGGCCAACGCACTTGAATCGAGGATGAACAAATCGACTCTTTAGGATTCTTAGTCTGATCGCCGAATAAAGGGCAAAGGCGAAGAACAAACAATAAAACTTTTCGATGCCGTCGCTCTTGCTAAGTCCACCGCTCGCTGATACCGGTTTTGTAAAAGATCATCACCCTGAATTTTACTGTCGCAATTAGAAGGTAGATATCGATAGCGTAGACTCCTTTACTGGCAAAACTCAGCGGATCTGATCGTCTGGCTACCGTTAGACGGATGGTCGGTTTAGCCGAAATGCGGCCGTGCCTTGTTTCATCAAATCAATCAACGAAAGATGCTTGAAGGAGGCGGACGATATACAATATAAATATTTCAAAAATTAAACTTGATAAAGCAGAAATTGTTGCTGAAAATATCGCACATGTCGTATTTCAACACAAGAGACGCATGATAAAAAGCAATATTTTCACATCATTACAAAACGGGGGAGAACGTATTTACGCTCGCCGATAGGTCAATTGCTGATGCTAGAGTGACTCTCGGCAATGAGGTGTAGATCTTCGCGATCGGTCTGAAGCTAAATCTTTAATTAACTAACTTATTGACTGTTAATTCCACTGGCTCGTTTTTATTTTCTTGTATACTAATAACTTTTACAGAATTAGCGGTAATAGTAGTACTTGTACAGTGTTGGGAGGTGCTCCACCGGGCAACCCGTTAAGGGCTTCGTTCCTGGTACTTCGCATCGGTGCTTAATTCGTAGAAGTTTCACCCACTCGTACCTCGTGCGTGCTCGGTTACTCTGCTTACTTGCATCATTGTAATCTCCTATTTGCAGTGGTACCATCGTATACGCCGTTCGATCGTTCGCTTGCCTAATCAAATGGTGTTTGTTTAAAGCTATGATGACAAATGCCCAGACGTACACTTAGCATAGGCATAATAAGAAACTCTTAAGCCACTCACACAGCATCAACAACATCAACAATTTCGTGTCACTATGGCGACCATTTGCAGTGTGCTACATCCGTTACGCATTAGGACTTGTTTTTATTGTATAAGAACAATTTATTCTATGCTGTGCTGATGGTTACTTATATATATAATCCGATATGGGCACAGAGAGCAAGATCCCTGATCTTTCGTCAGGGCTTAAGGGTCAGGTTGTTTGTTGTGTCCACACCCGGCTCATTCCAGACGATGGTTGACTATGGAACGAGCACCTCCCAACTGGCTGATCCTCTCGGTTTTTTTTTTCAATTTAGCCTAAATTGATATGGCTGTTTGACTTTTGCACAACTTCTTTATGGTGTATGAAAGTCAGCGTCTCGCTCTGGCCGAGGCGCGTCGTGCTCGAGCATAGCCTTTACGGAATAGCGCTCCGTGACAAAGACACGGACTAACTCGACACGAACGCTTCCAATCGTCTTTGTTCCAGGCTGCTGCAACACCACTGGCCATCGATGTCGATAACCCAGCAGAGTCTAGCGCGACGACGCAACCCACAAGACGGGGCAGCATGAGCGACGAATTCGCAGCCCTATGGGACCGGAGTCCACAGTCTGCGGTGCAGCCAGACTGTGAACGCACGCGACCCGCCATTCGACGGCATCAAATCTGCTTTCTCTTTTTATCTCGCTCACTGGCCTCATGCTCGTGCATTGGCTAGCTACTGCGTTCCTGCTCTACGTCGTTTCGCGCTTATTTCGAATAATCATAATATTATTGGTGGTATTTGTAGCAGTAGCAGGTGCGGTGTTATGGCTGAATTCGTTTCCTCTCACTATCAGAGCAGACGAACGAGTTCGCCTTTGCTGCATTGAGAGGCGTCTACTGAATTTGCCGTTTTTGACGTTAGTGGACGGCCACGGCTCGTGGTTCCGCTATTGCTGCCCTGCCGCTGCTGTTGTGCTTGGCTAGTGGTGGTAGTTTAGCCGCGCATCCCCTTCTATTTGTCGCACTTCGCACACGCCATTACACTGACTGCGCCTCGCTTCTCAGCAGCACTGCAGTAATTCACAGAGATCGATCCACGAATGCGATCTCATTGCGGAGGGCACGTATCAAACAAACACAAATATCAACAACGTTCGAACTATGAACAGCGGACTCGACGGAAACGATTGACAGCAACAACAGCAGCAGTAGCAGCGGCAATTGCATCAACGGCAACGAGCGAATGAGGTAAGAATTTAGGTGGTTGTAGAGTGCTGACGGACTCAAGGCAGCCGATCGGCTCGTAGCAGCTGCAGTCAACCCCGACTCGGTCAAATGTACACAGAGCGGAGTGGCCGTGAATCAAGCCAGGCAGCGAGGAGCAAGAACCGAGATAGAAACAGTCGCCGGATGCAGCGGACCATCCCCAACAGCGCCCTCTAGACGCTTAGTTTCAAAACAACTGGGACTAGCCAAACTCCTGACGCGACCTCCTTTACCCCTCTTGCCGCTTGTCTCCCAAGGCCCCGTAAGGGGATCATCCCTGAGGCCTTCCCAGCCAGCTCCCCTTTCCACTACCTTCCCCAAGCTGTCATTGCTGCAACCCCAGACCAGGCCAGCAGACCGGGTCGAAGCCCTCCACGCAGCAGTAGCGGCAATGGCAGCACCCAAACAATCTGGTATCATTGACCCAGCTAAACAAAGCGCGGCTTGTTACATGCATAATATCATCCTAATATTTAGTTAGACATGAATACGTATATGACAACGACGCGGCACATTGGAAGGCCAAACCTTCGCTTGAGACAAACCAGGAATCGCTGCTTCAAGTCCCGCCAATATTATACACAACCTGTGTGAATAGAGGAAGTTCTTATATTGAAAATTTGAAAACATTAACTCCATATGCTCAGTTACTGCATTTCGACGGTATAATGGCTAATTAACGCGTGGAACAAGACGTAATTGATAAACGATGTTAAAAATACGTGGCAAGTTATAGTTTGTAAAACTTATATAGTAGCGGATCGTGGATATGATTGGAAACTTGAGACAAGGACGTAGCAGCAGGATGCAAACCCATCGTCGAACACTAGTCAACATTCCAGTTACACATCTGACATAATCTTGATAGGGTATTATATCTTATCTCACTTATGCCTAGCTGGAAGCGTAACTCTGACTGTAAAATATCCTCCGAAAGGAAAGAAGAAAAATTTTACCGAATAATCGTTGGCGAAACTTACCAGATTTAGGGAAGCTACCAGCGTAAGTTACATATGTAAGTTTAGCCTAGTTTCGTTTTACAGGAACTCAACCTAATAGTCAATGGACAATAGTGGTCCGAAGTATTGCGCATATCGATAGCATATAGGAAATATATTTCGAATACTCTGGACACACTTGTGTCAAATACCATACTTGAGAGATCATTTGCTGTGATCCTATTTACTAGCAAAGACTTAGCCAAGAAGACATTTGAACAGCAAACAAATAGTTTTTGAAGTTGTTGAGTAAATTAAATTCTCAGCACGAATTACATAGTGCTTATGCTATAGGCCTAATGCCGCTAGCAGAGCTTTTATGAGTGAAAGCAGTCTATAGGGCTTTCGTAAGTTCGATAGCTTCAGATCAGAACGTCTTTTGCTAGGGAGTAAATCCGTATTAAATGACGCTGTCGAGGCTACTTCCATTCAAAATCTCGCTGGCAGCATTCCCCGTCTCTGGCGAGACGTTGTAAGGCATCATCGAAGTCTGTGATATTTATAGTGCAGTTATATGTCAAATATAACCAGTCTATGTAGGATTTCTTCTTCGAGTTATGGTATATAATATGGACGTATTTCGATAATAAAATTAAGGCAATACGTCTGCACCTATAAACCATCCGACTCTTATTGAAAGCGGTCTTTACTCAACATAAGAACCACGCTCGGAAAGTGGAATAAGTATACTTGAAGGAAATATCTATCACAAAGGTTGAACCTACGAAAAGCATCGCACAGCGATCGCTCTTTAGGACATCCCAATACGGTCACTCAGATTTTCAGTAGTCGGTTCTTTTTTTTTTGTAAGAAACATTAGTCGAATCTGATCCTAGAATATTAAGCTATATGCCACAGGTTCTAAACACACATTCACCTAATATACACGAATGTTGCATCATAAAATGAAAATGTTAGTCTTAGTTATTAGGAGAACGCTCTCACAATGTGCTAATTCTGCTTCATTTGTAACAAAGCTAAACGCGAACAGAATTTCGATATTGGGAGAGTAGTGCCGGCGATAATATCTGTCTGGTGAGACGAATTTCCTTATCTAGCTCAGTGCAACAATGTTGTATCGCATAGGCTCTCTGCTTATATCTCAGCGTTTGATAATAGATACCATTAAATAATTTAAACCACTTTTTCGAAAAACTATTGTCTAACGAACTTATGCATATAAATTTCTGTGTTACGGTTAAAAGTTTCGTCCCTGCTCAATATATATATATATATATATATAGTTGGAACATAATGCAATATTCTATATTTCATAGATGTCTTTTTTCATCTGTGCCTCCACGTATTTGCTTGGAATTTGGGCTATATGCTCACAGGTAGGTAAGCTATCCAAAAATCAACGAATCCCGTACATCCGGTTTTCCTTTTTGGAATCAGGACCATACTTAGAATTTATTTTTTTTTTAATGTTCCGTGATCATTTGTCAAACACGGCAGAAATACAGCATCAAACTAAATATAGAGAGCCGAATTAATATTTTATCGTATATGTTTATTGTAATCTTGAACTATTAGGCACCTCTCATTTCTTGTCAAAATTTTCCTTATATTTCCAAAATTCCCTATACTAAGATTCCTTATATTTTCTTAGGCACACATTCGTTTCAACGCACCTACATTGGTCATCGTTATATATTTTACATGCATATAATTAGCCAGAGTATGAACGATACCGCATTGAAGACCTTTATTATCGAAGCAGCCCACGACCTTGAACTTAGTCGGATGTTTTCGTCACCCGTATTTACTTTTCTTAGAGTTGCAGGGATGTGAGCCTGGCGTTAGTTTTAAAGTTCCCTATAGAAAGTTGATGATTAATTTAATCTTAGCGTTTGAATGTGATTTTTTTAGCGAAAACGCATTTCAAAAATCTGACAATAGTCGATGTTAATCCATACGATAGGGTAGGCCTTAATCAGGTGACGGAAACAGGGTTGAAGCAAATGTTGTTTTATTTACTGCTTACAGCTTTATTAGCTGTACTATCTTGAACTCATAGTTTATAAATAGTTTCAGACTTGCAAAAGGCTTGAAAGCGTATTATTGAAGTCTATCAGTTATCTGGAACGTTTTTTGCAGAATAGTACCAAGATAACTCGCACCCTACCATAACGTAACTGCAGCTCTCTGTGTACAAAACTATATTCGAATACCAATGTCCTTTATGTCGCAAGATACAACTTCAGCTCTGAGATTTTGCGGAAGGATATGCAGCATAGCATCTTCGCGGAGGGTTCTTTTCGTTGCATACGTTTCAACAAGGTAACGACGCACCTTTCTGTCCAACTCTTTGGGGATGCCCATCTGGACCATGTGTCTGCAAACAATGGCAAGAGCATCTGTAATGATCGATGTAGGCAGTAAGTTAACTTATCGATAAAACTATTAACATGAGCTGATTCTTGAGGGAAGGCAAAATTTGTTCTTTACGCCTATTAGATTGTTTGATGGCACGTTATGTGCCACATATATATACATATATGTATATCTAAAAAAAGTGCAGCGTTTGAAGCAAGTACGTAATTTAACATTCGCTATAATGATTATTTCGGAAATCAAGAAGAAAAACAGACTTTTCGTTCTCTAAAGAGCCGTTTCATTATATCAGGCCAAAATAAATACAATCACGATGAGATACTATTACCTCTAACCATCAGTGCATAGATATTCTCAGAGATTCACACACACACATAAAATATTAGAGATATAGCATCATCAGACCCTTAATATGATAGGCATGCAGCTCAAAGTCCGCAAAAAGCACAAACTTCTACTTGAAGACATCGTTTAAGATTTCCCAATGCATAGTACAGTGTACGGTGTACGACGCTAAACTTAGGCTATTATTGGCGATGCATTCCACCACTTCTGTCACCAAGAAAAGCCAGTTTTTTCTGCACTACCGAACAAGACTGTGTCATTTAAGCGAAAATCAATCGTTACGAGTTGGAGACTATAAATTACTCCAAATTAAAATACCACCTCGCAAGTAAGTATGCGTCTCTATAACGCAAGGGAATAGCTTGCAGCACAGCACAAGGGAGGGTTTACGACAGCGAAAGAATAGTGCGAATCTCAAAATTAGTCACCGTCGTCTAAGAGGACATTTTTAATAATCCTCTCAGGATGTACCGAGGAACAAAAATGTATGTTCTGAGTAGGGTATTCGATGAAAGAGACGTCGCACGTTTTCCAACAAAATGGTGCATCGACTTAGCTTAAGAATACAAGTGTGTCGTGACGTGTGGCCACCGAACGGCCCAGATTTAAGCTCGGTAGATTACTAGATCCACAAGTTTCGACGTGACAACAATGTCAGCTCCCTCACTCAAGCCTCTATTAAGAAGATTTGCAGGGCGAACGTTTAAGACGACCCTTTAAGGGGCATTGGACCCGAATTGAAGCTGACTAATGATTACTTTTGGACAAGTATAATCGCCAGGAATCACGATTCCAGCACATGAAAAAAATCATTGAAACATATATGCAAATGCTAAAAAAAAATATTGAAAAAAAATAAATAAACAAACGTAAGAGAATCCCAATTCAGGTGCGATGCCCTATATAGCTAAAAGTTTTGGTAAAGCCATGTGTCCAACGGTTATAATTCTGCATAACCACCGCAACGAATTTTTTCGACGACCTCTTAAAGCTTCGCACGCGCCCATTTTAAACATTTTAAGTAAGCACAAAGTAAACTAAATGTCGTTTACAGCTTGCAACATTGATAAACACTGTCGAAAAATTATAAATGTAGTCTTGTTTTGTTCGATAACAACATGTTATCGAAACGACGTTCAAAAAATATCTCCGTACTATGCACATTGTCTTGAATAGATAATCGTGGCCCTCGAAGTGCTCGGAAGCACAAATAACAATCCGATAAGTAGAAGGTAACACCGTAATGGACCGGCGACCATTTTGCCCACCCTCAGCGAATTCACTTTCATAGACCATAATTCTGCATCGATTTCAAAACGTATTTGGGGGTCGTTTTCGAGCGGAAAGATGGCTTCGCTCAATCTCTCTCAGTATAATGGCTTTCTGCAAGTACACTAATGGCAAGCGGCTTCTGTTTTCTAGTAGATAATGCACCAAACGTTAGGCTAAAAACGTTCGCCACAATATGGACCGTTAAAGCTTAGGAGGGAACGAAGCCAAGCTATTACCTCCTTCAGAAGCCTTTTTTTCATGTATTAATGTTGGCACACAAGCATTAGCAGCAGTATATATTTAGAGTTAAGCTAGAAAGCGTTTTCTATTCTACCTAAGAGCCACTATACAAGTTTATCAATATGTCATAGCTTTCAAAAAAGTCAAAGGTTTGAACAAAAGAGGAGGCCACGTGTATCGTACAGATAATTTACAAACATCAAATAATGTCGTAGACTTGGAAAGCTCTATAGGGTGCACGTATATGAAGTAAATAAAAATAGTTGACATCACATCATCGGTCCATCCCGCTATCCATCATCTTTCTCTGTACCACAGAAATTGAAGTCTGATTCGAGAAATAAAAGGCAGACTAGAAAAACTAGACATTTTGAGTATCTATTTGGAAGGTGCAAAACCTTTTTTTTTTAAGTTATCTACTTTTATACATACCGTTCAATAAGCCTAAATAGCAGTAATATCCCTTTGCCACTTTACCTGGTCTGTTGAAATCATTACAGCTCAGATCGGCGTTCTATTATAACATAAATTTTATGCGAGCTTCTTATCCCTTAAAGCACTTATCTTTTCTTTGAAGTGTAAATGTACATTAAAACTTACTGGAGAAATTCAAGCAACAACGTTTTTTTTTTTTGCTAAGGGAAACCTACCGTGATCTTCTAGTAGCAAATTGCGTTTAAAAACTGTGACTAATTTGTAAAGCTCAAATGGAGTCGGATAAAGTAAAAATTATAATGCCATACCAAAATGTAGAACCAATCAACGGGAACGGTATATTAGTTACATAATTACGTTTCTCTTGGACAGTTTCAGTTATTGTCGTTTCATAAACAACCACCTCAAAACTCAAGCTGTGAAAGATCAATAATAGTGTAGCAGGCTTTGCTATACCTGATAACGAGATCCATAGACGTTTGGTACTCGGTTTCTTCATAAGCGGCTGTACTCACGATATCTTTAATCTGACCAAGTATAAAGGCAAAGATGAACGAACCTGCAACAAATAATATTTTTGCGTGGCAGTTTTAAAAGTGACGAAAAAAAAATCATCTTCTTTCAAACGGGTTATGACTAGATTTTAGTGAACGAAGATTTAATTTTAGGTTTTTAGCAGTATTCACATAGCAGACTTGCAATTTAACTCTAACTGTTAACATGTTCTCCTAATTATTGTAAATACACGAGGAACCACCAAAGAAAAAGCAAAAAAAAAACTTGAAGAGAGTAGTTTTAAGGTAATATATGTAATAAAGGCAGACAGTTGTAACAAAACACTTCTATTAGAATATATATATATATATATATATACATATGTATATATATATATATTTTTTTTTAAAGTAATTCCTTTGCAGCTATTTGAAGTGTCTTTTATGACCGACGTGTTTATTTAAGGTAATCATCATTCACCGCGATTACCACTTTTGATTTGGAACCTAAGCCACTAGTGGATTACTTTCAAAAAATTCCTGCTTTAATTAACATATAATTTCTTAGTAGGGAACGTTCGTCACGCGGTAATAGTAAGTGTCAAATCGTTGAAGTGTCGTTTAAATATGCTACAAAAAATCCAACCCAATTTAATTTATGGGCTAATAGTAGGTAAAAAGTTCAAAAAAATGTATGCGTAAAGTTTAAAAGGTGCAAAAAACCTGGTAACAATTAGTATTTAACTGGCCTTTAATTTCTCTATCAAAAAACCTATGTCTATCAAAAATGTCTTTTTAGGTATTTTAATCAGTTCCCGAACCTTTTAAATGTAAATTTTATTGAAATTTTTCTAGTTTACCTCATGAGGATTTTTTATAAGCCGCATAAAAACTGCCAATAACATAGACCGCCAATTTCAGGAAAAAATGTTTTTACTTTTGATGGAGATTTACCTAATGCGGAAAAATTAGATAATATTTTGAAAACGACCCACTGCTCTTCGCCCTAACGAATTTGCTGTCTTTTTGCACCAATTATTTTCTAGTAACAGAACTATAGAGAGAGTACATGTCCGCTATCAAACAACTCGTCGAAGTTTATTTGAATCTAAAGGCCCTTCTCTCCTATATATAGTGATATGGCAAAATGAGACTCCATCGATATTCGGGTAAAATATGTCTTCGTAGGAAAACGCCCATCATTTTTCTAGCCGTTGCTTGATGTCAAAAGGCCGACGTTAGCACAAAAGTAGCTAGCTGCAGGTCGGGAATATCACAAATGTTGTCAAAGGTGCCCATAATATCATTCATAAATCGATCATTTTGCTATGGAAACGCTTAGCACTTTCGCAGGGTTACCTCCAAAAAAACTCCTTGAAGTTCACGGGGCGAGATATATAGCGAAAAGAAGCTGAGTGGGTTCTGATATGAATATGACTAAGCAGCCCCTTCGAGTAATTCCGAAAATGGACCTCAGCAAGTGAGTTCATAATAATAAAGTATGCATGACAGTGGGATATAGGGCTAGCTTGCACATACGAAGAAAAAGACAGATCAGTAAGCCGAGCTTCTAACGTTTTAAAGTAGGCATACGACTTCTAAAGCTGTCGGTCGCTGCGATGTATAGAGCAACGGGTTTTCTGTTCTTCATCAATCTTCTTCATGATGCATAAATCAATAGACTGCGCCGCGCCCTGTGTATATTAACTGTTCCACTGCTACGAAACTGCGAAGAGGCCTTGGCCTATGTCCGCGTTACATTCGAAGTAATTGAGCGGCTAAATCCTCTTTAGCGCACAACTTCAATCAGTAAATGTTGTATAAGTACAAATAAAGTACGATACGCCTTATTACACAAGGTCCTATACATTTGGCCTATTCGAACAAGTAAGGAGGAACTACGCTTTACTAGTTAATGCTTTGTAAAACTGTGAATATCATTATTAAATCATATGCAGTGGTTACTTGTTCCACGAATATTAGAAAGCAGCATTGTAACGTCCACAAAGTGTCGGGTAGTATGTTAATTGTTTAGTATAGATAAACTTATTTAATTAATATGAGCCAAATACTATTCTACCTAGAAGAACTTGTTCAAAGAGTCGTCAATCTTTTAGGCAATGCTAACCTTAATCAGCGTATTTGAAATGTAATAAATTGTATCTCAAGTACAAATAGACTATCGTAAACATAAAACGAACCTAAAAATAAAAGAGCTGCTCGCCGTGTTTGTGTGAATTAAGTATTTTCCAGTTCTTAGAGTTGACTTAAACGTGAGCTAGATGAACTATACAAATATGAGATAAACAAAATCTGCTGTCCTGGTCAACTTAGGAAGTTCTGTTTTCCTAAACATTTGCAGTATGCGTATGTATACGGAGTCGACCAGTCGTTTACAGTGCCAACATTAGTATTCTCTATCCATGCGTAATTGGGCAAGTGTGTTTGGTTTTGAACGATGAATCCCATGTCAAATTGTGATATAAAATAATCGATAGCAGTGAGCTAAAATCTACACTGAAATCCAACCTGCTGTTCTATTACCTAGGCTCGAAAACAAAAAAATCCTACCAACCTTGTAGCCAAAGGAACGCCATGAAAATATATTCTAATTCATGCGTCGGTTTTACGTTTTTTCCTATGCCAGCAGCCATCTTGAAACTAAAATAGAAGCATCTGATATACGGTAAATCGCCGATGCCGGGATAGACGAACGCGTTCGAGCCGATTCCTATCATTGCACAAGATAGTTTAAGTGTTGTATAAGCATGTATAATATATCGAAAACGAGTCCATGCATTCAATTTCGTGCTTACCTTAGCAACACTAAGGTTACTCTGACATTTTTTTATTTGCAATCTAAGCGTCAATTTATGCTGCGGTCTGGCGTTTAATGCGGACCTCGATCTATAAATGAAGGTTAATCTGTATGCGCCTGAACAACCGGAGCCTTTTGTAAACTGTAAGAATATGAACAATTTTTTCTAGTTTCCTTCTTGACACGTATCTAAACCTTTTCCACAATATCAGACCAAATTCCAGAGGTGTCCAGAGCTATCGTCTTCTAATATTATATATCTAAAAAATACATTCAGCCTTTTCGCCCTTTGAAAGACCAACAGGGTTCTGCTACATATGTATATGCCACAAAATGGAAGACTCTGAGCAAGTTATTTGAGGTTGCTTCAGCCTCATAACACTGTAACAGTTGAACTGGAGAAAAAAGTAGTTTAGCTTGAAGCCAAAGAAGAGATATGGAATTGGAGTAATAACCATTAAGATAAACTTGCTCAAACGCGCGAAACAAATGGATCTTTAAATTATCCCAGTAGCACCACTTTCTTACTTCGTATTTTTGTGTTTAAATAATTAACCTATTGGACTTTTATATTGATTCTAGATGAGCTACCTTTCAGTTAAAAAAAAAAAAAAAAAGTGCTGTTTTGTTATGATTTAACATCGATTCTTTTTTAATGTGACTGCTCTGTGTCAAAGGAAGGGTCAACTTGAGCCGTGAAGTGGTGAACTATAGTCCAATTCAAACAATCTGTTGTATCACACGAGTCATTATGGGGCTTTAAATTGAGCTGTATTTGTACGGTTTTTATCTCAAATATTGTTTGTCTTCAGACACTTCATTAGAATGCAGTTGATTGCGGTGAAGACGAAATAACCGCGACTTTAGATGAAAAGTAGCCCGCTGATCATCAAACAGACGACTGGATTATATTATTAGATATCCAGCCAAGCTGTTGTTGATTTCTGGAACTGACTTCATTCTTAGTCATTGCCGCGCTTCAAAACTGCAGAAGTACCGCGAAATTCACTGTCTATCGGAAAAAAGTTTCTTTAAAGGATGTGAACGTATAGACCAAAAGTGTGGCTTATCCGGCATAGAACAAAAGATACAGAAACTTATTTATTGAACAGTGTCATTTTGGGCGATTTTGGAGAATAAACCGATTTCATCTTTCAACACCTTAAGTATTTCTTCTTAATCCTAAGAAAACAGTATTGTGCAAACTAACGATGTTTGGCACATTTTGGTGCTACAATTCAAAAGGTTTTTTTTTTTTTAGTGTAAAACATCTCATAATTTTTATTATTTACGCAGTATTCTAGCACTACCTGACTCTGTTCCGCCCCGCAATAAAACGTGTCAAGGAAAATTTAAACTATAAAGTAGTACATGTGGCTTAATG